ATATTCATTCTTGCTTCTAACCTAGACCTGAACAGTTGTATTAAAGGAATAAACCTGTTTTTAAAAAGTCTGTCTATCGTTCGTTATACGTAATTCGCGTCAGTCAGTGAAAACCTTCGCCAAACGCCAAATATTTAGTTCATTATGAAAGTGTAATACGAAAATACTACAGAAATTATACTCTCTTGCCTCTAATCTTGGGAGTTCAGAAACTCGTCACTCATTTTTAGTACGGTAAGAGCTTATTCATATTTTAAGGGAGAACATTTTCTTGCCTTAGACAATACTTAAAAACAGTATGTCCAGCTATACATATGCAAGGCTTGGATAGACATTAAAATTTAAATTAAGTTAAACCGGAAAAACATCATTCAATAAATAATTGATTAGTACCTTCATCATCATTTTTTCGTTTTCCAGGTCTTGGATTTTGCAAATTTACAGTAATTGGCTGTTTCAAGTCAGCTGGAACATATTTCCTCCATGTACTTCTTCCATGTTCGTCCTAGATATGAATTGTATATTATTACCTATATATTTTTTTAAACAAATTATGTTCCCATTATAATGTGCAGTTAAACCATTTCAGTTGTAATTTTAATATTATGGTATTGTAAGATTACCTGTTCATTATTCAATTCATACACAATATCACCTTGCAAATCCATGTCATCATTACCTAGGGCATTTTCTTCAATATTTTCATTGCATAATTGACCTTGATTTCTTCATTATTCGGCTCCTGAGAAAAAAAGCAGTGTATTTTTATGTTTATTTCAAAACGTGTGGTTTAAGTTTTGCTTTACTCTAACTACGTATTAATATTACAACAAAATATCATTACTTACTTCAATTATTGGTTCTACATCACCATCAAATTCATTTTCAAGTCCATAAACCGTTTTTTGATTCATGACAGAAACAATGATATCATGGCACGCATTTTTTTTTAAATCTTGCAAGGTCCTCCTCCAGTTGCAAAAACCTGATGTTTTTCTTCTGCTACTATTTTTCGCACCTCCCTTTTTCGGTTTTCATAAAACCTCTTTAATGCCTCCGAAGTTCTATGTGTTGCATTCACTGCTGTAGCATTGACTTCGGTGGCAATTTTCTCCCAAATTTTATTTTTTGCTTCATTTGACACATGATCGGTTTTCTGATTTTCAATAATGTGCTTGTACTTTGCACAAACAGTAGCAATCAATACTTTCTCTTCCCCAGAAAAACCTGGACATCTTTGCCCGGTTTTTTCCTTGGTAGTCATATTGTAAACTTTTGTAACCCAAATCAAGTACACTAGTAAGTCAGTAGTACACAATAAAATATAACATGACTAAAGCGCGGAATATATGCAGTTAAATTCAATCAAAATATGCGCATATATTTGCATAATTTTTATTCCAAATATGCAATT